AAATCAACGGTATGTCCTTTTGCCTTGTTAGCATCGGATTTCGAAAAGCCGCGACCTCGGCCAACCGACGGCGTTGCTGGCCATGTGTTGACAGCGCAGGACAGTTTGCTTTTAGGGCCGCGTGAGCGGCATCGATCAGTCTAGCGTTGTCAACACGTGGCCGTCGGTCAGCCGGTCGATCGGTCGGTGAAACAATGCGCGTCGTTGAACTCTGAAAATACCCATAAGAGACAACATACGTAAATGTACCAATAATAGGCTAGAATCATAATTTGGCCGAAATGATCAAGAACAGTTATTAAGAACAGTCAGTACGACTTTAGATTGAAGTGAGATGAATCCTTTTCAGGCTGTAAGCATTTTTTGTTCATTTGGTATCCTTCGTCCAATACTTGGAGTTCATGATGCAGCTTGAAGGGCATAAGCAACAGCTTTTTCAGACCTTTGAATCACTCTTATACCTTGAGAGTTAGCCAGCTTAGTGCACTATGTAGTGCAGGCCGCATTCAGGAATTCAAAAAAAAATTCAAGAATGACTGGACTAGAAGTACATTCTTTTTTAGTCCCTGAGAGTGATGGGAAGGATATCGAGCAGAACAGAGGTTGGTGTGAAACGACCTATACCTTCCTTCTCGAAGGGTATGGATTGTCCACTCCTGCCTCTTTATTTTTTTGACCAGGTAGCCGCTTTTGGATCATGAAACAATAATTACGAGATATCTTTCCTGTTTACGTCCTAAGACATGTTTTTGTTTTCCGAAACTTTGCCTTACTAACCTAAACTCTAGCTATTTTGCAAATGAATAGATTTAGAACTATTACGAATCTCACGTTCCGGCCGCAGACGAAAACAGGAGCTTCGGAGGTGTTTGAGCGACCAGATTCCATCACGGGTGAAACCTCATCTACGGTCTCGTCGATACCGCGGAAAACTCTACCCTTGCAGCAGATGGTGCACCGGAAGTTGCTCAATGCTATGCCGGATGAGGTTGAATATTGTCAAACCTTTGCCAAATGGGAATAATAGTCAGTCATTGTTATTTTCTGCAGGTGGATCGATCCGTAGGTTCCTCGACTCTTGTCGAGAACGACGTCATGCGAGATACGGATTCGTATATCAGGGACGCAGAGATTCGTTTGAATTTGTTCATGAATGACGTCGTCAAGGATGAAACCACAGTCTGAAAAGAGAGTAAATAAAGCCTTAACCTAAAGTGTTACGCAGTAAATGGACAGGTCTGGAAAATGTGATGATTGGTAATTCTTCTCTTCGTTTTCATATTGCTCTTACGCATTATCGGGAAATGTACAAATCAAAAAACAAACCGCTACTAAAGGTGTGTAGAGATCAAATTGAAGTATTGATAGAAAATGCTTGATGAGTATAGACACTACTCCAATTACACATTTATTCATTCTATTCACATACACCAGCGAACGGTTTGCCAGGAGTGAATGGTAGTTAGTGATTTCCAGATGACTGCTGAAACGTGGGCAACCTCATTCCAAAGTCTGAAAAGTCGAGTGAGGGTTCTGAAGTTGTGTTGAATGTAGTGTAGTGAAAGTAGTGTTGAATGCGAACTTGCTACCAGTCAAAGCCTTACAACAGCACTATAAGCTGTTATGAATGAGTACTGCATCCGATGAGAAAGGCGCTACCTCTTTCCTAGCGGCCACTACACGGTGTAGTGTTGGGTTTCGTTTCAAAGCTATTTTCATGACCTTCTAGTGACACTTCTCTTCAACGCTTGCCAGCCGTGACAAAATTCTCGCTCGTCTGATCCGTCCCTGAAACAACTTTGGGTGAGTAAGCTCAGGAAGGAGTCTTGAGTACTGTGATTACTAGAGAATATTCCTGAAACGCTGAAATGTGCTGAGGAGACAAGTCTTCCTATGCACACACCAGTCTTTCCAGCGCATTCCAGCCTTTTCATCTTACTCATGAGGATTCCACTTATCAAATTATAAGAAACCATTCAGAGCTAACTTGAGTGCTACTACTTTTCCTGTAATTCTTGTATTGAAACAAAAAACCATCATGAAGTCTTATCAGTACCGGTGAGCTATTCAGTTATGACCTTAACTGAAATCATTTCATTACCAACTTGCAGTCATTTTTCTGATCGCACACAAATCGAGAAGCGATACATTTGGAACTGTCCCTGCACATGAACCATCCTTTGGGACATTTTATCGTATGAGGCACATATCGACTAGAACCATCCTGCAATATCATTCATTATGCTAGTCCCAGATTTCAAAAATATTAGCGTCTCAACAACCAGGGGTCCGTGTTGCGGTCGTTTTAAGCATACCGAATCGTCTTCATCAGAATGGTCTGAGCAGTCAATTCTGCCGTCGCACATCCACCTTAAAGCAATTAATTTCATGTTATATAACATTACGAGCAGAATTGAAAATTAATCTGTGGCAAGGCAAGCCATTTCAGTAAGTATCGACTTGTATTAATATGTTATACGTATAAGTATATTAAAAGAGAAATATGCTTCAAATGTACCAAATAACTTCATCGAAAATCCAAATAATTGTTGTTCAAGTCACAATTTCGCAACATTTCCGGTATGATCACAGGCAGAAAAGTTCAAAATAATAGCACTTCCCATCAAGACCGTTTAATGTAGCACTGAGCTCAGAAAGGATCTGGCAGCTGAAACTTCGTAACAAAAAAAGGTGTGGTAAAGTAATTTTCGTTTTTGCACCGACGCGCATGTATCAATGTTCGCTAGTGGACTCGCTCCATCAAACTGCAGTGACCGTGACCGTCCACTGAAACAGCGCTATACATTGCATGCTCCAATCATGCATTGAGTTTGGGCGATACCTACCTGGCGGGTATAGCGAACGCAGCACGTCGCTCCGGCTAAATTCTCAAAAGTCTTGGAGCGTTGATCGATCCCGTCTGAAGGACGCGCCCACGCATTCGACTTCCATTCAGAATCGTAGTGGCGTATTGAATGCGTATGTGGCGTACACAATGACTTGGGGTGGCCAGCCGATGTACAAGTCAGTGCATTTATCCTCCCAGACGAGTCTGGTTTCAATTAAGTGATCCCAGAGGGATGAAAGGCTTGGTTGGTTTAGGCAGAGCTCGACCCGGGATTTGGTCCCGTGACCATGTGTGTGTGAAGTGCGCCACTTGCCACTACTCCACCTCCGCCTTCAAATGGAAAAAATGTGGTTGAAATGTTACTAAGCGGTTCTGGCTATGCAATATTCTCAGTAGTGAGTTTGTCGGTGAGAGCAACATGCGTTTGGCACCCTTCAGTTGATGCTGAAATAAAAGTATGAGGGAGTTTGGACGATGGCTACCTTCTTAATTTACAAGTCAAAGTATTCTCTTCAGAGCTGAGAATTCCACAAAACTAGACTGTAGGAAAAAATGAAATTTTGCAATCCAAGATATGAAGACACCGCCGCAGAATGAAAAAGCAAGTCATCACCTTTTATGGATGCAAAGAATACCATCCGCACAAGGAACGTAGTTGAGGGAAGGGCATCTGAACAGGAAGCATGGAAGAACCGCTGAAGAACACAAAAATCTTGCTGACCTGGCCACTACTTGCTGATTGTTTTCTGCCGAAACGCTTATGATCACGCTTACCCCACAGATAAGTTGCTGTAATAGCATCGGTTGGGAAAAATAGGAAGAGACAATGGTCGTTGTTTCGTTTATAAGGGCGCTTAGCGAGTATCCCATTACATAGCCCAAACTAAACAGTGAAACATTCCAAAGCAGAAGGGCTGGGCTTCTGGCCTCATGTCGTGGTGTCCCTTCCTTATCCCCTCATCGGTCTTGCCAGTGCAAACTTTTTGTTGGTACCGCTCTGGGGCAGTTTTTTTTCAGAACCTTTTAAATTCTACAATCACACCTTTTTAGCATTGAATGCTGGATTCGGGACAACGGACATACCAAAGCTTTACAATGCTCCGTGTGCTATGTTTGTCGAATGTTACACGGTGAGAATCTACAAACCATATGCTAACTATACTAGCTAACGGACCTCCTGTCATTCACTGTCGCTATGGGTCGTGACAGGTATGATAATGGTGCTAACATCACTCGAAACATTTGTGAGAACGGCCCAAGGCTTTGGTTGCCTAACAGTTGTGCATGTTTAATTTAAGAAAAAAGGCAAAAGATCGAGCATTCCAATTGAAGGCATAAGCATATTCTTCTTATTCTAAATACCATTAGCAATGCCCTATTAGCCCTGTGCTAAACTTCGTGTACAGGAAAATATTATTTTTTCAAAGAAGGAGTGGAGAGCTAATCGGTTACTACAATTTTACTCAAGGAAGGGGGAAGCCTGGCGTTAGGAGGGCGAACCGAGTGGTGTTAATGCAACGAGGAGTGAACTCAAATGAACTCAATGAAAAGTCTTATCCGCGTTACATCACGAAGATACAAGTTTTCAGCTAGGCTTAAGTAGGGAAGAAGCATAGCGGTGGGCAAGTTTTCTTTCTTTTTTATTCTTTCTTTTCGCTATACTGCCTATACTCACAATGTTGTTTTTACATCAAGAATAGTCGTTTAACTTCCTTGTTACTATATTCCTGCCACAACAACAGCCACACGTCAAAATGCCATAACTTCATTGCGTCAAGTGTAGGCCTCAAACTTGGGTAATCAAACCACCACTAGTTCTATAACAATAGAAGCAAGAGCAAGGCTACATAAAATGAAGGCAAGGATAAGAGTTCATGGCATAAGGCAGCACCAGATTAACATAAGAAGTAACTGATAACACGAGGATATCATAACTAACGACATGGGGATATACATATGTCTGAAGACATGAGGATATCATAGGAATAAGCGACTGACGCATGGAGATATTTGTTTGATGACATGATGAGAGCATACAACTGAGGAAGGAGGTTGAGGTTGAAAGTATGTAGGTTGAGCTGGCGATTCGGCTGGACTGTGGCGGCTCTTTTAGTGGGGTGGCGGTCGCGCGTGCGTAGTCCTCATTGCTGTAAAGCGTCTTTGCACTGTTTTTGCCATGTGTTGTCTGAAAGCTGAAATCAAGTCACTTTCGTATGATGTGAGTCACAGTTTTATTGATTATTTAATGAGATAATTGTAGAAAATCGCGTGTTACCCGCGATATTCCAGCCAGCGCCAATGGCAGGGAAATAGTGATGATGCCTAGTTCGTAATATAATTCCTTCGGGCGTTCGGTGTGGCGGTTCGCTTGGCTTTGCGCTTGTTCCAGTCTGGTGTGGATTTCCAGCTTCTCGGGTAGTTCGCAGAACACCGAGTGATGTCCTTTCTTTTCGCAGTAGGAACACTTCCCGTGATATTTGCGACAAGTGAAATAGCTTGGACAGCATTCTATGCATCGAACGCATTTTCCATGATGTTGCACGAATAGCGTCTCTCCTGCACTTATCTTATCTGGATGCACGCATCCGCATAGTGAGATCCGGTTGTGAGGCAGAGGGTGCATGTAGGTAACGGGCATCTCGGTGCTACCGATTTTGGGAAGCCACCGCCATGGCGTCGTGGAGGGCATGTTGGGATATCATCGCGAGCTGAGTTGAAGCTTTGCGTTCCTCAGGAGATCCGCTTCTATAACGTGTCTTGGACGACGTGCTTCCTGTTGAGCCGACACTACTTCTCTTGTCTCGTTTCCGGCGTGAACCGCGCGCGTGAGTTCCTCATTGCTCATTTCTTCCTCTATTCTCCGATTTTTGATTCAAATGAATGCCTATAATAACCGTTTCTGGCAAAGTGGTTCATTGGCTGCTCTGTTGTGGCCTCTATCGCAGCAACTTTCACGAGGTGGTTTTGTGGTAGAATGCCCGCTGCTATGCGGATGGTCCGGATTCGATTTCGGGCCGATGCACCGTATACCGACTATACTGGCATATCGTAGTTATATCGAGAATAGCCGTTTCTCCTCATTGTTACTAAATTCTTGCCCCAACAACAGTCACACGTCAAAATACCACAACTTTATTGCGTCAAGCATACACCTCAAACATGGGTAATCACACCAACACTAATTCTAAACGATAGAAGCAAGAGCAATCTAAGGGACTAACCTTGAGTGACATCACAATAGTCTCTTAATCTTCTTGTGACGGTTTGGAGTATAACTCAAATAGTCGGTGTCCTTGCACAACCACGATAACACGATAGAGTATCACCAGTTTATTGCACCGTGGAACGCGAACTTCAAACTTGAATAATCAAACCGATACAGGAGCTTTCATTGTTTGAGAAACATAAGTTACTAATCATGAACGAAGTGAGATGGAGTACAGTACGACGGTCGATGGTCTGGCTTGAGCGTTATATATAGTGTGCAGCTGGTGTTTTTCTCCGGCATACCAATAAAGAGCCCAGCTGGACGGTGCTCTTCGAAATTCTCTCGATTCTATCAGAGCCCTTTCTGTGGTAAAGAAGATTACAGCTGTTTCATGATAAGAGCGTTGTCAGTAACATATGTGTATATAAATACACTTTTTCCTCGCCTCACTCAAATCTAAGCGACTCGCGGATTGCCGCGATATTCCCGGCCCTGCCATGCTTGTCGCGGTTCTCGTCCACTTCTCGCCTCTCGAGTCTATATGTCAGCCTGTGGACGCGGTCTCGGGCGTCTCTGTAACAATTCCAGCTCGTCTTCGATACGCGAACTCCTCTCCGGAAGGGTACATAGAGCCGAATGGTGCCTTGTTTGGTTGCATTGAAAGCACCTTGTGTGACGCTTTCGGCATCATTGCCCTCTGAAACAGATATAGTAGAGGCACGTGTAGGCACAACTGTTCTCGATCCACAATTCACCATCGCTCTTCCGCGAACATGCACACTGCGTACGAGTCGGAATAGTGGTCCCCTCTACGTCCGCAGAAAGTGCATAGCAGCTCGTGATAGTTTTAGATCGTTCCATCGAACCTTCGTACTTGACATCGTTCCCTGTCTTCCACATCATTCTTCATTAGTCGAAAATTGCGCCCGGCTTGTCTTGCCCGTTGTAGCTGCAGTAGCAGCTCGGCTACTTAGTCACGTGCTTAATGGATCGGTTTATCTGCAGCAGCTTGCGCGTCGTCTCGGACTTCGGGTTCGTCTTCTTTGGGAACCTCTCCGTGCTCTAGGGGACGGATCTCCTGTTCCTCCTCAAGATTGATCCTTTCCTCCTCGATCCTCACTTCAACGTCGTCTTCGTCGTCGCTTCCTTGCTCTTCATGCCGAATCCCAAATCTAGGCGACTCGCGGATCGCCGCGATATTCACGGCCGATGCACCATTCAAGGGACTAACCCTGAGTGATATCACGATAGTCTCTTAATCTTCTTGTGACGGTTCGGCGTTTAACTCAAATAGTCAGTATCCTTGCACCAACACGATAGCGTATCACCAGTTTATTGTGCCGTGGAATGCGAACCTCAAACATAGGTAATAAAACCGATACTGGAGCTTTCATCGTTTGAGAGACATAAATTACAAATCATGGATGGTGTTTTCCTCCGGCATACCAAGGAACAGCCCAGCTGGACGGTCCTCTTCGACATTCTTCCGATTCCATCAGAGCCTTTTCTGTGTTAAAGAAGATTACAGTTGTTTCATGATAAGAGTGATGTCAGTAACACATGTGTATATAAATACACTTTTTTCTCGCCTCACCCAAATCTCAGCGACTCGCGGATTGCCGCGATAAGCAAGGCTATATATAGTAAAGGCAAGGTGGAGTTCATGACATAAGGCAGCATCGATAAACATAGGAAGTAAGTGATAACATGAGGATATCATAACTAACTACATGGGAATATATGTCTCAAGACATGAGGATATCATAGGAATAAGTGAATGACGACATGGAGATATGTTTTTGATGACATGATGAGAACATACAACTGAGGAAGGAGGTTGAGGTTAAGAGCATGTAAGTAACGCTAGTGATTCGGCTGGACCGTGGCGGCTTTTTTATTGGGGTGACGGTCGCACGTGCATAGTTCTCAGCCAGCTGCAAGGCGTCTTTGTACTCTCTTTTCACATATGCGGTCTGGAGGCTGAAATCAAGTTACTCTCGTATGATGAGTCATAGTCTTGATTGACTGATTTAATGAGAGAATCATAGGAAATAGCGTGCGACATGCTATACTGATATGATATACTGATATATCGCGATAATCTTATGATGTGTGCCCCCCACGCCCCCCCCCCCCCCCC